GCAGATCCCAGAAGAGTGTTCTCCATCCCTTGGCTTCGCTTCTATTTCGTCTATGCTCTTCAGTCATGCAGTGAACACTGCACACACACACACACCTCAGCAGCACGGGATCAAACAATCATGCTGAAATGCATAAATTTCTGCAAACCCGAAGCAGAAATTTCTGCGAATGCCGTAAGGCCTTCGAACGCTCAATCCTCACACCATGATTCGTGTCTACTACCTCGCCGGCAGGAAAGACTGGCTGCAACTGAAGCTGTCGGGACCTACGTTGCGGCCGTGGGCGCGAGGTATCCTGTCAGCGCAGCTGTGGTTAAGGGCTTTGAACTCCTGGGGCAGAGAACGCCGACTGCAGCCAAGGGTTTAAGGCAAAGCCCAACTCCTGAACGCGGATCCTTTCATTGGGAGCGGTCAAGGAATTTCCGAGGTTAAGAGTGTTCAAGGAGCTTCTATCGAGTGGGTTTACAGCAAGAACCTCGCAAGAGCAAAGTAACCATCAACAAGGAAGCCCCTAAAAGCCTCTAAACAGCAGTCCATGGCCCTTGCCCAAGCACCTGGCTTGAGACTGCCTAAACCCCCATCGACATGGTGGATGAGGTGTACTTACATGGGATGGGCCGGACGAGACTAGAGACATGGCGGTGTGGCGCACATCGCTGAAATTCTCATACCCCCAAGCCCCATCAAAACACTCCAGACGTACGTAAATTCGGCTCAGTCTTAAACTTCTAAGTTCTAATCTTCTAGGACTGCTGGCAATATCCAGGTTTGCACCTCACCTGCCCAGTGTGCTGCCAACTCTGTGCGCACAGGCCGTCGTTAAAGATCGTCGGGTATATAAATCGCTTCAGATTGCCCTAGGCTTGCGGCTAAGATATAGTGGTTGCTGCCTTAAGGTTGAGGTCTGTAGAGTGTAGGCAATGCAGGCCGTTTAGTTTTATGGCTTCTGGGTCAGGAGTTGAGGTTAGTTCACTATCCTTTGTGAGGGGTTTCCAAGATTGGAGGTCAGTTGTTCAATTGGGCTCTTCAAGCAGTGCTCAGGATTTTTTGCATTTAGGGCTTGTTCTGCCGACGCTAACGGAAGCCCCTCACAGTGAGCAGCTCTCGGCCTGGGGACTTGTCAGAGGCTTCGGCTCCCGGGCTCTCGCTGTGGATTTCCTGTAAACCCGGAGAGAAGCTTCTGAACCGCCGCCGCTCCGTCTGCGGTCCGAGACATGGGAAAACAATGCAGAAGAATGCACATATAATTTTTACATAATACACGGATTGGCAATGAGCAAAACTGGCAGCCTGACGAGGCCAAGCACGCTGACCCCTCTGTTCGGGCAGAAACTGCAAACTCCTTGGCCAAGATGGGCAGAGCGCGGTGCTCAGCATTTTGGATTTGTTTAGGAGCACGTTGGTGGTTGTGCATGCGCGTTTTGTGTTTTGCTAGACGCCTGCATTGCTCTGGTTGGGTCGGCTTGGCACTGGGGCTTGGGAACTTTCGTCGGGTGCGACTTGTCTCCATCCATCTCGGGCGCTACAGAGCTGCCCAATGCGGCCTGTAAGCAGTCTGCAAGGCTTCGCGGATTTGCTGCGGGCTTGCAGTGCAATTGCGAGATCGGAAAGTTCTTTAAGTTTAGACCCAATCACAGCATTTGAAGGTTCTCGGCGATTTGGCCGGAGGCCTGGGTGGGCATGGAACAAGACGGCCATAGGAGTTGTTCCGACTGAAGTCGCAGGTTCTTAATTTTGTGTCAGCGACTACTTGCTAAGTACACCATATCCCGATTGTCTGTGCCAAGCATATCTAGCATTTGTGGGCCGTCTGATACCCAAAGTCGCAATGAAGACGCAGCACTTATCGTTGTTTGGCTGAGTTCAAATCATGCTCGACACGCAGATCATCGTTTCCGGGATTGACATCTCTTGACTTCTGCACCCTAAAGCATCACACATTCAAGTAAAATGGATACACTTATTCGTAACTTAATTACGTCCTTTTGTGTGTGTGTACGTGTGCGTATATGCCTGAACACACATGTACATGTGTTTATGTGCATGCATATACATATGAATGTATACATGTCTGTATTTGTTTAAGTATATGCGGTCAGGCGCTCCGCCCCCCCTCCCCCCCCCATGGTCCATGGTCCAGGATGCCCCCGCCCCCCTGTGGGTGGGGTGTGGAGTCCGTCCTGCGGTGTGGTTGTGGTGTTTTGGGGCTTAGGGTCTAGCTTAAGCTTTATTTGAGTTTGGGGTTTAGAGCGCGGCAGCTGTACCACTCCTCTCCCATCACCATTAACTTGTCGAAGGCTTTTGAAGATCGAGAGTAGAGAAAGACCTGAGTGTTTGTCTAGGTAGTGAGCCCCCTTAGAAGGGAGATTGCAACAAATGTGTGTTGAAGTCTGTCTTGGATTGCTCGGAGTGGCGGCGTGGTGATCTTCCGCAAAAAGACGCCGGCGTCTGGCCCACTCGGACAGCTGCCAGTGGAGTGAGAAGTTCGGAGAGGATGGCAAAGGACACAAGGACAAGGACATGGTTTGTCCCGGTCTCTTCTCTGCACAAAAAAAGACGGATAGGAAAGGACCAGACCTGGTGGCGCCGCATCTCTTTTAGCTCGCTCGTTTGTGCGGGCTCTGGCCTGGCCGCCTCTTTTTCCACTGGAGAACAGGCGGCCAGGAAAACGGCTGGATATCTTCTGTGTGTGGCAGCTTTGTGGTGGACAAGTATCACAAGTCAGCTCGTTACCTCAGATAGAGGAGATTCCCCTGCCAGAGCCCACTCGGACGAGCGGGCTATAAGTCCCCTCCACCAGTGAAGGGCGAGCAATGGACTAAGAATGTCAAGTCAGACATGGATGGGATGGCGTATAGCTGCTGGGAGTATGGGTATACGAGGTAGAATACATCAAATGTGACGAGGAGACGTACTGGGCGGCTGAGGAGAAAAAAAGTGAGACGCCTGGCACCACAGAAGCCTTCGTGGTAGTGCAAAATGCTTTCAATGTGGTAGCTGCTACGTGAACCGGGAATTGTTGCTTCGCGTGCGTGCGGCCCACGCAGCACTCTGATTGCGAGTGGTGGCGGGACTTCCCAAAGCCGAGTGGAGTTCTGCGTGGGCGCTCCGAGGTCTGTGTGTGGTGTTTTTCCCGGTATTCATACAGCACTACTGCAGTGAAGGATTTTGCGAAAGCGTAGGTTACCGAAAGGGAACATTTCCACAAAAGGGTGTGTTTTGCACACTTTTCAAGTATGCTGCCAGAGAGAGCGGATGTAAATTCTAGGTTCGCATTTGCTTTATCTAGCTGGATGACGACGAAACCCTTATTATCCCGCGTAGACGACGATTGAAGAATGAGAAAAAGTCGTATATAGGAAGGAATACCTGATGCAGGCTTGAAGAGGAAGCTGGTACATCAGTATATCTTCGGATGAAGTTCGGAAAAGAAGCATAGACGACTGACGACCGTGTATTCCGCCATTTTGGCGAGGACATTTTCTTGTTTTGAGAAGGTTAGTCCGCAACTGGCATGTAAAGGATTTGACGAGCGCTCCAATTGCGGGCGTTTGGCTCAAGTTGCGACAGCTGCAGTCGTGCGAGCAAAAAATGCGGTTTTTTAAGGCCCGTAGGGTAGCGCGTCCCTGCCGTGCCTTTGTTTTGACCCGTATAGTAAGTCAGACAATATTCAGCTTTTCGGAGTGCGCCTGGCCCCGGCAAAGGCTCCCGATACCCAGGGGATATGTGGGGGACACGTCAAGGCATGTACCTTTCTGAGCCTGAGCGAGAGACTGCTCATCCCAATGCAATTTGACTGGCATAAAAAAACACTTTACATATTGTTTGGTCATACTTTCACTAGGGCGTATACCTACAATTAGTGATTACGCGAACATGAGTCATATTCTGGTTAGGAATTCCAAAAAGTTCTGCACCGATCTACACTTATTTACTTCCTTCCTTACTTACTTCATATACTAGCACAGCAGCCGTAGCAGCAGCCTTTCTACCACCACTTAAGCTACAACGATTGTATTCGCTGTTTGTTTCCTCTTGCACGCCTAGCCCTCAGTTGAACCCTTCAAATTAAAACCACGAGCCCGGAGGCCCAAAGACCTAAACTTCAACATCCTGTAGCCCAAAAACCCAAGAAGATCGTGTCCCGAAGCCCGGACAAGCCAACAGCATTGTCCGCACAGCATCGTGGGAGGCCTCCCAGAAGGCCATGCCGACCGCCCCGCAGCTTCGAGCCTCGCAGAGGTCAGCATCATCCTGATCATCGTCGCCCCTATCTTCATGTTCGGGTCATCCCCATAAACGCAGTGGTTATCAGCATCAGCATCATTGTCGTCACTACTGTATTAGCATCAACGTCATCGTCGCCATCACTTTTGTAATCAGCGTCATCATCTATGTCTTCAAGCTTGCAATCATCTTCCTCGCCACCCCCATCTTCACCACGACTTTCAGTCGCTATGACTGGCATTGCTGTCGACGTTGCCTTCGAGATACGTATTGACGTCCTGAAGGTCCCGCAGGCCCAAAAGCTTTCGGACTTATAGCGGAGGCTCTGCTACAGCTGCAGGGGTTTTAGTTGCGGGATTCAGATTATCAGGATTTTAGTGCTTTGCCATTGTGCTCTTCGGGTTTGCCATACACCCCGAAACTGTTTCAAAGTTATCAAGCTGCAGGAGTACAATGCGAGGCTTCTTGTAGACAGTGCCACGGCAGCTGCAACGTTGCAGGTGCAAGCATGCCAAATCTCAGTACAGCCAAGATGCTCGGTCTGGCTTTCTCAAGGGTCTCAAAAATCAATATGGCCTGAAGTCCGTGTTTGCCTTTTAGCGGCTTTGGGCTCGATGATTCTCGGGCAGGGCTTTGGGTGTGCATTTTTTCTGGACCCGGAATTTGGTCTGTGTGAGTGGTGTTTTGGAAGAGCACGACCTGCCCACGGAGGCCACAAGCCTCAAACCGCGAATCCCAAATCTGGACCCAACCCCAGAACATTTCAACTGGAGGCGGTGGCACGAGGACTTTGTGACATCCTCCAGGAGGTTCACAGAGGGAGTGCTTTTGTTAAACGGTGACTCGGGATTCAAGACTGATAGAGAGCTTGAAGGTTGCCCCGACTCAAAGGTGAACATGTGGAAGGAAGAAGAAGAAGAGCTGTAAGAAAGGGCAGGCAGAAGATCTAGAGGTGGCGCTTAGGGTTCGTACCGCAACTTTTGTGGAGAGATGCTACACATTGGGGAACCTGATGCCAAGACCCTGAAGACATGGACCTTGAGGCTGGGGAACCCTGCAACCCCAGCCCTAAGCCAATACCGCGCTGATCCCCAGCCTGAAGTTAGTGTGCTCTCAGCACTCGTTTGACTAAAGTCCAGCACCAGATCAAACCAAACCGAAATGCAGAAGCATAAGCCCCAATTACCTTGCTGCCCCTAAGATCGGAGTAGTTGCTGGCAGCCGACTCCTGCTTTCTTCGATGTGGCTCTAGGATGAGGTTTGGAAGTTAGGGTTGTCTGGCGACCATCTCGGAATCGAAGGAAAGCCACAGCAAATAAGAACAGCACCGAGATTCCTGCCATCCTGCTTGGTATGAATAGTCTTCAACATCATCAAATCTGATGAGCCCAGAAATGCAAGCGGAAAAGAAAAAGTAAAGCCCTAAACCCTGAAAACCCCAGCAATCTGAACCCGAACCCTAAAACGAGACATGCGCAGATTGACAGGGCGACTCCTCACCAGTGCGCTGCGCGCTGCAGGGCAAGGAGGCTGCCGGCAGTGGAGCTAGCAGTTAGACCTCTGGTTAATACGGAAAAACCTGCACCCCTGCTAGGGATTGGACGAACGAATCCGACTTCAAGTAATCAGCGGTAGACTCCAGACATTCTTAGTTTTCTGACTTGCTCATTGTGATTTTGCTGGTCGACGTTCACTTCATTCTCCCCCTACTCCCCCCCTACGGATGCCAGCCCCCCGGTTCCGCATCTAAGTCTCTTCGTCTCCAAGCCTAAGCTCTTCGTTTTGTCATGTAGGTCAGTTTATTGCTGACAGTTTTAACTGCGCTTTGAGGCACTGGAAGCCCGGAGAGGCCCCACCACACCTCTAAGCAGGACGCCATGGCCGGCCGCTTGGGGCGGCTAAATCTGTTCAACCTCGGAGCCGGCACCAGATTCCCATACCGTAAACTCGAAAGCGATTAACTCTATGAGCGTTTGAGCCCTATTCCCCCATCAGCGTGGCTGTCGGAACTGGCATCACAGAGGACCTCGAATCAAATCCTGGCTTCGTGTCTTTGGCCGGCCCAGCTGCGCGGGGCTCGGCTGTTTCATTCTGGATCTGTGGAGTTGCGGCACCGAGCGAAAATCCTGCTGTGTTGAAGTCAGATTTGCTGGGTTTTGCAGGGCACTGCAGGGCACTGAGGCTACAGGAAGTAATTACTCCGAAAGCAGATTTCGAGAACGAGCAGGAACAGTCTCTTCCAGCTTTTGATTGTGAGGCTTGAATATCCTCAACCCACGAAATACATACGAGGACCCAGAGGGCTAGGTTTAGACTGCATCCGCATTTATTCAAAGCGAATGGCTTTGGGGAACCAGGCTCAAGGCCTTTGTTGCACTAAAGATCTTAAATTGAATTTCCCTTGGAGTTTGGGCTTTGGTGTTAGGATGTTCAAAGATCATTATGCTTTAGGCTTCAGTTTCAGGAATGGTTGAGGAGTCTTTGTCCTTAGAAATTTTGTTGAGTTGGACAGAGAGTGCCGGACAAACTGCATGGCCTGCATTAAGTCATTTCGTAAAGCCTGCAATCCCCAAGGCCATCAACTCTTGGAGGTTTAGGGCCAGTTTAGGGCTTCATCCTTCATTGAAGCAACCTGTTATTCTTCCGTGCACCCCAGGTCCTAGGGGCTAGCGGCTTGTGGGTTGCAGGTTGCAGAATCCCGGTAATTCGAATCCGCAAGCACTGATTCTCCAAGTTTGCCGCCTTAGCAGCGGCAGCTGGTATTCGACGCTCGGAGGTTTGTCACCCGCTTTTAACACTTAGTATCGGGTGGGGATGCAAAAGTCGCGAATAAAGACTCCGACATTGGCCAGCATCTACTTTACATCCGGGTTCATAACAATTGCAATGAACAGCGCGGGTTTGCGTTCGAAGATGAGGGATTTTGAATGGGACTCCATGATAAGCTCGTTCTTTGGGCTTCTTTCTTAGGAGCGGGTGTGGTGCGAGATATGAGGTCACACATGGCTCAAGGGCAGAGAAAGCCCCAAACATCCTTACTGCTTTGATATATCCGAAGTACACAAAAGCATTTTAGACCCCAGTCGAATCGAGCTGTTCACCAAAAGGCTTGCGCAAAGAAGCTCTAACCAAAGCCTATTTACAGTTTCTTCTGCACGTTTACGTACCGTTACTGTAATGTCACACTTCGAGAACCTGCCACAACACGCTTGCGAGTGATTCCCTGAACCCCGCACCCTCAGACCCTCACACTTGAAACGGGAGCCCTTATGCTGTGCATGGCGAACTTGTGTTATGCGTGTGTCTTGAGATTCTGCACGGGAGGATGTGGAAGACTCCGATGCGGGTGTCGAAGAAGACGAGGATTCAGGGTTTCGAGACTGTCATACACCGCACTGACCATCAAACCTGCCTGGAATTATTCTGAGTGGCGTAGTGGCGGCCTTCATCGACAGCTGTCTAGGAAATTTTCTGTGTTGTGCGCTTCTGTAAGCGCGCCCCCTGCACCTTGCGCAATCCTAGTTAGAATAGTAGTTATCTCTCACCATGACTACAGCGGGCTGCGGGCCCTCGATAGACATTGACCATGGAAACCGGATTGGACTTGCTATTGGCATCAACCGACCACGATGTTTCAGCCAAGGATGAAGAGTCATTCGTTTATTTTCTCTGCATATTATCCGAATTCTGAGATATCAACCCTGCAGCCTCGACGCCCTCCAGTCGCCTAGAGTGAGTTTGAGTTTTTGACATCTTTACACAGATGTTATCGCGGCATAGACTGGCTGGTGGGTTAAGAGTAATTACGTATCGTCTTCGGCTATTCTAGGTTGTCTAAACTCAAACCCAATTGGTGTCGTGCTCTGACACACTTTACAGACTTTCGGGAAATCTTTCTACCGTGCCGACATGCAAAAGAACGGCCGCAAAGGGAGACACAGGGCACCCGGGAACGCCCTAGCACTGCGTACAGAGGTCACTGGCGCCAAACCATTCAAAAAGCCGACTGTCAAGTCGCGACCAAGCGGATGTAGACAGAAGGTGTTCATCACTTGCAAAAGCAGTCCGTGAAAGAATGGAGTTAAGCCAATGGACTTCAAGTGTTGTAGTTTTGTGCTTAACCGAACCGTGGATTTTTGGAGCCGCAGGGCCAAACGGTTGGCCTAACTACACTTACACCCCATGTATAAATCACCGACTCCTACAAGTTTGACAAGTTTGGAAACCGACGACCACTTCGGAACACAGACTTATTTGTCGTATCAGTTGAACCCTCTGTCCGAAACAACTGCATGTGCAGGCATCAGGGTTTTTAGGCGGATGTCATTATGGTTGAAGGTTTTAGGATTCACTGTTCTTTCAGGAACGACATGTTCCTTTGGGCAGGACGATTGGTGAGTGGTAAGCAGCGGCAAAAGCGCTTCATGAGTCGACTACAAAAGCCAGCTCGGTTGCGGCTGGGATGCTCCCGGCTTAGTGGTACTTATGAATGTGTGAAGCATCCCATGAAACTATCATGGTTTGACTATTCTAAGGGAGAACCATAGCTAACGGACGCTTAGATTTTTTGCTTCGGGTCTTCTCAAAATATGTATTTCAATGCCGTGGATAGTGAAATTTAAGGCATCTATTCGAATACATATATCAACATGGTTTACAATTTGAATAATTTCCGAATTTATTGATTTTCTCGGACATAAAGTTCTCGGATTTTCACAAAAAACTAGATTTATTTATTTTTAGAGCTTCATATATATCTTTGATATTTATATATTAGAAATATAATTCGAAAGAATATAATAATATATTGAAAAATATTTTAATTCGATAATGTCTTTAAATAATATTTTTGTTGTTTCTGTTATTTCGTAATATATGATTGATTTAATAGAAAATATATATTATTATAATTGAAAGATAGTAAAAGCCAATAAATATGAAATGAATAGACAATTTTTGAGAAATGATGTTTGAAATTAATGAATTATAAGATGATTTGAAAAAGAAAATATGTAAATTGAAAAATAAAAAATATGGGTTTGGGGTCTGGCGTGATCGGTTTTAGGATTGAAGATTAACTCTAAACCCTAACTCTTTTTCCCGACCACGTCGGACCCTAAAGCTAAGAATATCTAATTTTACGATGATATTTATGATATGAAAATTTTCTATGTAAGGAATTAATTAAATCTATTCTTATCGAAAATATTTTATTTATTTTTCTATAATTTCGATTATGAATATATATTTTATAAATAATCTCTAATATATTGTATTTTTTTGATGTATTTAATATATTTTTATTTATTTATGAAGATGGATAAAAAAATTTAAATTATCGAAAATAACATTATAAAATTAAAATAATTTTGATTAGATTTTAATATTGATTTGAATATATTGAATGAAAATGATAAATTGTGAAGGAATAATTCTTAAGTATAAGATTAAAAAAATCTTGAATTTAATTTGTAAATTAAATTTTTCGAGGATAGGATATGTGTTGATATTTGTGCGAGATGATGTATGATGCCCTTAAGGCGTACGCGTCTATTTCTTCTATTTATGTACTATAATTCCTAATAAATAATATTTAAAAAATAATTTTTGAATTAATATATAATTTTGTAAATTAAGATTTTCGAGAATAAGATTTGATTAAATATTTCTATGTGCGAGATGATTTTTATTGTTTTTTAGGCGCACGCGTCCGCCTCTACCCAAATAATGTAGTTCCTAAGACGTGGCTGAAGTTGGGGTGGACATATATTAGGGCAAACGAGATTTCACGCACTATCAATGATTATCAATATATATAATTTATTTTGATTTTTCAACTAATAATTTGAATATTAATTTTGTAGAAAAATATATTATTCTAAGATATGTGTTATTAGATAGATAGAATTTTTTTAGAATGGATCCGTCATGCGATATAAATCTTTTTGAAATTCGTAAAATATAATCTAAAAATTACAAATGAAATAGATACTAGTCTATATATTTTTTTTATTTTACTTAATTAATTGCTCAGAAATATGAATAATAGAATCGTCGTGGAACTGTCGTTAAAAAAATCAAATTGGGAGAAATACTAAGGATTATCAAAATAGAAATACTCTTTCGGAAAATTTTAAGATCATTCTAAATTATTGAAATATTATTATTCTCTTGGGCTATACGATTAATATAATTATTTGATTTGTTGAAATCATAAAAATTGATTCTGATTGAGTATTATAAGAGGCACCGAGATATCTTCCCATATCAAGACGAATAGCCGACGATCAAGATAAATACTCTAATAGTCATATAGAGAAAGAGCGAGAGAGATAGAGAGATAGATAGAAAGAGAGATAGAGATAGAGATGACAACCCAAAATTCAGATATAAATCTAAATATAGATAGAGAGAGAGAAAGAGAGATATAAAAATAGAAAAGAGAGAAAGAGAGAGATATAGATGCAATGAAATAAAGAGATATAGAGATATAATCTTTTATCATCAATATATTTGAATCTTTTGCAAGCAATATGATCGGATTGGAAATTGAAGATCCGTGACGGATATTGAATATATCAGTTTCAGAGAATTTCAATTATCAAATTAAAATGATTATTCTTCAGCCACTCGTTTCGATTCCAATTTAAAAAAAATTGCTACCATTAATGATCATAATAAAGATGATGATATTAATGATGAAAACGATATCTGAATCGAGATCAAATTATAATAATTAGGATCCAGATACAGAAATTCAGAGACAAAGATATAATAATATAGACAGAGAACAAAAATACAAAAGCAGAGCAAGATAGAGATACGCCGCACTACGAAGCATTTGTCCGGGCAATTAGTTACCGACACTACTGGTATTTTATGAAATCAGCCACGGCTCTTGACGAATTTCTATAGAAATTAAAAAAATAAAATGAACCTTAACCTTAGTCGTTTCATTCTCTACAAATTTCAGAAAAAAATGAAATGAAGTTTGGAAGCATCCTATTTATTATCAATATTTTTTAGAAATCGAAATTTTGAAATTAAATGAGAGAGGCAGCCCGAAATTGAAAATTTCTCGCGAATTTACGGCTCTAAAAATTTCATTTCGAGATATTATTTTTTCTTCTAATTTGTTCTCCCGAACAATATCCAAACGAAAAAGAATCAGCGAGTATCAATTACCCCGCATCTTCACGGCGGCGCTACTTTTTCTACCTTCATTGACCGTCTCTCTTTTTTTCTACCTTACATTTTCCTCTCTAAATGATATTTCCTATCAAAAATAGATTAATTTGCCTCTACGTACCCTACCTTCCCCGCAATTATCTAAATCTCTTTCGCATCCCATCAAATTTCTCCTCCATCTTCTCATTCCATCTTCTCCTTCCAACCTCCTCCCCATCCTCCTCCTCTTCCATCTTCTTTCCCCAGCCTCTTCATCCATCCTACTCCTCCCATCCCCGTCCTCCTCCTTCATCTCGCTCCGTCCTTCCTCTCCATCCATCTCCTCCGCTCCCTTCCCCCATTCCTCTTCTTCGTCCCCCTCCTTCATTCTCCATCTCCATCCCTTACCCTTTCCTTTCTTCCCTCCATTCCGTTCCGTTCGTTCCGACCCCATCATCCCGTTCCCTCCTTCCCATCTCCTTGGCCAACAATTTAACAAAAAACGATAGGGATTAGGCCCCGCCGTGGCCCCCGCCCCCTTCGTCCCATAGTCTCCCTTCCTTCTCCTCTGTTCCGTCCCCCATCCCATCCATCTTGTCCCCTCCGTCGCGTCCCTTCCCTGCCGTCACCTCCTTCTCCGTCCACTTTCCGTACCGTACCGTCTCGTCTCCTCCATCCCCGTCCCGTCTCTTCCCTCCCGCGTCCCTTCCCTGCCCGCTGCCCTCCGCCGAGCGCTCTCTGCCGACGACCACGTAGGCAGGCGGGGCCTTCTAACCTGGTGTGGCAAAAGGCATTTTCACGACCACCTCATCGCCCACCCTCCCGTCCCCTCCGTCCCGTCCCTTCCCTCCCGTCTCCTCCGTCCCGTCCCCCCCGTCCCGTTTCTTTCACTCGGTCCAACCCGCCACATCGTCCTTCCCCACCATGCTCCTCGCTGTGTCCGCCATGTCCCCTTCCGAGTCCTCTTCCGTGTCCCCTTCCGTGTACTCCTCCGTATCCCCTTCCGGGTCCTGCTCCATGTCCCCCTCCGTCTCCCTGCGTGTCTCCGTCCGTGTCCTCCTCCGTTTCTCCCTCCATCATCTCCCTCCGTCCCTCTCTCTGTCCCTCTCCGGCACTGGAATATTTATTTCTCAGTTGCGCATTCCTGCAATGCTCAAACCCGCATCTCCGGAAGAAAGGCGTTTCGGTACACTACACTATGTGTGAACAAGTTGGAATCATCATTTGCTTGTTCCATCCGTGCTTCATGGAGTCAGATTCGCGAGATTCTCTGAAAATTTCGCATACAAGACATGAAGTGAAGCTTGGTTGTCTGCAAACGTCGCACACGGGGACATCAAGTGAAACTTGGAAGCACTCTACATCCATTCTCTAAGTTTTCTACAAATTTTGGGTCTGTAAATGTTCAAGAAATTTAGAGAATGGATTTCCAAAATTTCCGAAAATTTGACGGCCGAAAAAGACAGTCAGCCCGAGACTGCAAATTTTCGAGAAATTTAAAAGTGCGACCCCTTCCCAAGCCGCACGAAAGGACAACGCCACGAAACGCAACTCCCAGAGCTCTAATTTTCCGAGAAATTTACAGCACTGGGAGAGACATTAGCAAAGCCCCTAAATTTTCCAGAAATTGAAAAGAAATGCTGGCCCGGAGGGTGGCCACACAAAAACGGGTGAGTTGCAACGATTTGCTTTTTTTAAAGTAGAAACATATAATGATTTCTTTCGAATGAAGAAAATATGAATCTAATTTGATATACATATATATATATACATATATATATATACATATGCATATTGGAAAAAATATGAGCTAATCGTATTTTTCTTTTAAAATATTGTCTTGGTTATAATTTGTAAAACATATGTATATTCTCAAATTTTTCAACCAGGATATATTATTTAAAAAAAGTTTACATTATTATTATAAAATAGTAAATAGAAGAATTCTGATAAAAATAGAAAATGATTACTTCAATATATATGAGTATATCTATATATATGTATATATAAGCAACTCTTGATTTAAAAGATATATATTATTCATTTGTTATATATATATATACATATATTGAAAATATGTATGTATGTATGTATATATATACATATTTATATACATATATATATATATACAAATATATATATATATATGGTCACCCCACCCCCCCATGATCCACCTCCGGCTTTCTTCGATATGTAAAACACATAGAAACCACCGTAAATACCGACGACTT